CCCCCCCCCCCGAGATGAGCCATGCTGAGTGAGCCGCCTGAAGCGTGGGACAAGATCCACCCCTTGGGGGCCAGCCCCAGCCCCCCGGCGTTTGGACGGGAGGACTCAGCTCTGCCCCGGGGTGGGGGGACGGAGCAGGTGCGGCTCAGCTGGGAGCAGCAGCCAAGTCCCCGCTTCCCTGTTCTCCCCACTGGGCCGTGGCAGGGCGTCAGACCCGTGGGCAGACCCGGGCTTTTGTGGATGGGGGTGTGAGAGCAGTGATGGGCACTGCAGCGGTGACTGCACCCCTGCTCCTAGCTCTCCACCCCCACTGGGGCAGGCAGATTGTGGTATGGGAGCAGGAGATGGGGACTTTTTAAGGCCACAAAGCAGGTAAGGATCCCCTCCCACTGTCCCTTTCTGCACCCTCTTCCTTCCCCTCCATGCCCAATGGCAAATCCCCTCCCCTCCATTCCCTGTGTCCCCCGCTCACCATTGCCACTAACCCAGTTATTGCCACTTGACCCAGGAGTGGGGAAAGCTCCAGAGTCACTCCTGCCCTGCTCCAGGCAGGCTGTGTAGGGAGCTGGGCTTGGCTGGGGACAGCAGCAGCTGTAACAGGTGCATTCCCCATCCCTGGGCTGGCAGGGCACACCCAGAGGGCCTGGGTAGGGAGGGGGAACCCACCTACTGCTACTGCTGTTGCAGCTGTCCCTGGCTGCACCAGAGCCTGGCTCTGGAGCTCCCCATGCCTGTGGGTCAGCCAGGGACAGTGGCAGTGGCAGGCACAGGAGAGGCGGACATGCCCCTGAGCATGGAGAAGTAGGGGATGGTCTTACCTGTTTTTCGGACTTAGAAAAGTCCCTAACTGCTGCTTTTGTGGCACTGTCCAAAAGGGAGGTGTGACCATGTCACCGCACACCCCCTGGATCTGCCCCTGGTTGTGCCTGTGCTTGGATGTCCGGTGTAAAGTGGTGAAATTCTATTCACTTCAGCAGGCCGACATGGTTTTATACCAGGATCTAAACCACAGACTTCAGTGGAGTCACAGCAGCTGATGATCTAGCTCATTACTTCAGAAGATGGGCTCCCATCACCTCTGTTCACAGAACTAGCTTTATTATTAAGCACCCAAAGATGACAAGGTTTAATATGTATTTAAGTGTATTTGTTCCAAAGAGACTGTTATCTCAGAGATAAAACTCTGTTGGCCAGGTCCTGCCATCTTGACTCAGACAAAACTCCCACTGGAGGAAATGAAAGCTTTGCCTGAGTCAGGATGACGGGCTGAGACTCAATGCCACTGGCAAGCACAGTCACAGCAAAACATGACAAATCTGTCACTCTTCAGGAATTCAAGGAGCTGTCTCAGGTCTGCAGAGTGCAGTTACCTGGGCTTTCAGAAAGCCCCAGTGATAAAGCTGAGATCCCTCCCACTCCAAGGGTCTCTACCCACTTGAACTACAAGAGACTCTTCTTTAGCAGGTAGCAGTAAAGGGTCTCTGATGCATGGCTAAACACATGTGGAGTCTGTCCTGCAGAGGGCAGTGGCACACAGGCACACACAGTTCCCTGCACCTTTTATTAGTGTAATATATCCTGACATTTAGGCTCCAGCCTGCATTGCACAGACATTAAGACCCCATGTCTGTCAGTAGCTAACTTTTCCCCTCTGTTTTACCCATCTGCAGTATGCTGTGCTCAAGCTGTCTGCCTGCTCTCTGCCCCAGGGCTGATTACTTTTCAGCAGCAAAGTGTCAAGTTCACAAAACACTGCAGGAGCCTTCAGGAAGAAAAGTGCTAAACTACTGGAATAAGTCATTCCCTTAAGCCATGGCGCTTACATAAACCTTGATATAAAGCTATTTGAGCTTGTAACAAACCCTACAAAATCACCATGTGCATTTCATTCAATTATACAACCAGGAAACTATATTATATTCAGACCTCCAGCCAAGAAAGTGTAATGCAATCCTCCCAGTTTCTGGATGCCAGGGATGGGAGCGGGTAATACTGGGAAGAAAACTCATGGTACTATTGTGCATCATCTTGGAGGAAAGGTGCCCATCTTTGGACTCCCTATCCCCAAACTCTGAGAAAAGGGGGAGAGGGGGCATCTGGATGGTCTGGGGATGTGTCGGCTTGATGAAGTCTGAGTAACAAACCACTCTTCTGTTCCTATGACAGAGTGTTACTTAAACAATAGACACGAGCGTAGGGCTTTTTCTGGGGATTAATAGCCAGCTGAGACAAACTGATACACTTCAGGCACAGCCAGGATGGGGACCATTTAAGCTCAATGGGTCATTAATCCCCTGCAAATGGTCTGTGCCAGGCTTATTCATATTATAAACTAACCACGGGGGAAAAATCACAGAGGCGTATGGATTTTTTTCCTCTGGGTGACACAGTTTTGCTTGGTTTGTACAGAGTGTTCCTGAAGGATTCATTTCTTAGATACCCTCCAGATAGATTCTCACCATCCTCTCTGGTTTATAATCAATAAACAGATGAAACTGGAAATACGAATGTGACTCCTTACCAAGCCTGGTGGTTTTACCTGTGGCATAAGATTTTTTTTTCTCATGGTTTTTCTCCTCTGTGTCTGACTAGCTGTTTTCTGACCCCCTCCGCAGATGCTTCAGCTAAGAAATACAGTCATTTTGTCTGGTTTTGTTTCTGGTTCAACCTTAGGCTTCCAAGCACAGATGCACTAGACTCATCATGTCCCATTTCTTAAGCCACTTAAGCAGGATGTTGCTAATGTAGCACCCGCCTGGTTCCCCATATTCTGTGCTCTGATACTGCTGGTGTAAATCAAGAGGCTGGCCAACTAAGTCAAAGTCCATTGACCCTGGTCAAATTACCCCAGATTTACTTTGCCATGACACAGCAAAATTGGACTGAAGTGTTTAACTGGCCAAAGGTGGCAAACACCTACCTGGCTAACCAACAAGTGTGACCAGGTCAGAGAGACTCAAAACTTTTTTGGAAACATGCTTGCTTGACAGAGTTTTTGCTGATTACTACCCCAGGCTCTCCCTTAAGCATTGCCCAAATTCGCTTCCTGCTCCGGTTCTGCAGGAACACACTGTTAAAGAAAGAGTGACTGAAGAGTGCTCCCAATTCAGATCAGTTTGAATCATCTGCAATTCAATCAGAATCACTGGCAGACAGGGCTTACGGGAGGGTAGGACTGTAGTGCATGTCATTTCAACAGGCATACAAATCACTGGCACAATGGCTTATGCTAAAAAAACCCATACGCCCTAGGAGAGAAATAATGAGATGTTTCAGATGGGGATGTTGGTCTGAAAAACCCTCTTCTCCTCTCACATGCAGCACATGGTACTTTTCCCCAGCCTGGCAGGCTCAGCAAATGTTAACTCTCATACAGGTTTTCACTCATATGATGAAAAATCAGATGGTAGTTGGCATGCTGTGTTAATGGCTCAGGAACTAAAACCTGGGGAAGTAACAAGTGGAAATGGCTTTGGTGGCCTAGGCCTAGTGCTAATGGATCCTTTTCCCTGTCACAATTCAAAACACAGCTACCAGTGTCTTTGGACCAAGATTTTCAGGAGTGAGTGGCTGAAACCGAGCTGTTCTGCCCAGATGTAGAGCCGTAAACAAGTGACCTGATTTTCAAAGATGCTGAGCACCAACAGCCCCTGTTGACTTCTCAGTACCCAGCACTTTTGGAAAAAACAGGTCTCTAATTTCACTGCCTAATTATGGGCCTCAGAGCCTAACTTTAGGGACTTGTTTTTGAAAACTCTGGCCTGAGAGCATTTAGAGACCTCCAAAAATCAGGTAGGTAAGAGATGAAGCACGTTGGTGTAGCTGGGATCGTACCATGGGTACAAATCAGGACGGAGGTCACTTGGCAGGGTTCATCAAGAGAGGATGGCGCTGCAACGTGGCGTGAATTTTAGCTGAGATTAAGCTGGAGTGCCAGGTTCACAGGCTGGAGCAGGAAGAGTTGTCAGTTATCCCTAAGTCTCCATATGGACAGTTTAGGAACTCCTATACATGCTTCTGAACTGCACCGCACAAGCAGGACCCATCTATGCAGTGATTCGAGTTGGTTGGGGTATGAAACATAGGTTATTAAGGTAGCACTCATTTGTTTGGTTTGTTTTATCAGTGGCAGAGAGGCCGGCCCCTTATACCAACGTGATCATGCCCAGCCTGTTCAGCATCATCTGCTTCCTGGGCATTGTTGGGAACCTCATTGTCATCTACACCATTGTCAAGAAGAAGAAGCTGAGGTGCAAACAGACCGTGCCTGACATCTTTATCTTCAACCTCTCCATCGTGGACCTGCTCTTCCTGCTGGGCATGCCCTTCCTCATCCACCAGCTCCTCGGCAATGGCTCCTGGTACTTTGGAGCTCCTCTGTGCACCATCATCACTGCTTTGGACACTAACAGTCAAATCACCAGCACCAACATCCTGATGGTAATGACCCTTGACCGTTACCTGGCAACTGTCTACCCTCTGAAATCCACCTATGTCCGAACGCCCTGTGTAGCAGCCTTAGTCATCTGTTTGGTGTGGCTCCTATCCTTCCTTACAATCATTCCCGTGTGGATGTACACGGGCCTGATGCCTCTGGACGATGGGACTGTCCGCTGTGCTCTCCTCCTTCCCAACCCCGAGACTGATATCTACTGGTTCACCCTCTACCAGTTCATGCTGGCCTTTGCCATCCCCTTGATTGTCATCTGTGTGGTTTATTTTAAGATCCTCCAGCACATGGCTACCACCGTGGTCCCCCTGCCCCAAAGGAGCCTCCAGGTACGTACCAAGAAAGTCACCCGCATGGCTGTTGCCATCTGCTCTGCCTTTTTCATTTGCTGGGCCCCCTTCTACATCCTGCAGCTCGTGCACCTGGGCATCGACACGCCTTCCATCGCCTTCTTCTATGCCTACAACTTTGCCATAAGTTTGGGCTATGCCAATAGCTGCCTCAACCCTTTCCTCTACATAGCCCTGAGTGAGACCTTCAAGCACCAGTTCATGGTGGCCATTCGTCCGGCCAAGGAGCAGGTCCGCAACAGCAGCTCCATCAACAACAACAGCACGACAGAGGCCAGCGTGTGCTTGAAGCTTGCACCCGAATCCACTCAGCAGACTCAGTTTCTGGAGGACTTTTCCCCACACTCACTGCCTGTGACAGTTGCTGTTCACTAGTAACCATGTGGTCACACCTCTGGAAGGTCTTGGCTTCTTTTCTGAGAATACCACAAAACACGGAGAAGCAGCAGTGTCTGGTGACACCAATGTCGGCACGCCTCCATTTCAGACACAATCAACCTTGTCCTCTCTCATTGTAGGGCTCTGCTCTCAGCTTACCTTAGATCTAAGAGCTACTGCATACTGCTGCTTAGCTTCACTGACAGGTATTAGGGACTCATTTCTATCTCATGCAAAACACTAGGCTCCCACCGTGGGAAGAAAGGGAGAGAGAGAAAACATAAAATGAGAGGCTGTTTCAGAAGGGCATTTGTTGGCACTGAAGTGTAAGCCCTATGCCAGCCATTAGCAAGGTGCATGCAAATGGTTTCTTCTTGCTCACCACTTTTTCTGGGCACAAGCCGATACAGATATTCTGCCTTTAAAACTGGAAGCTTTTAAAAAGAAGTATTTTAACAAGAAAAACTCTCTGTGAACTTTCTGAGACCTGTGCTGAAATACTAGAAGCAAGCAGAGTAGGTACTGCTCAGCACAGCAGCCTCCAAAGTGCCTGAGAACCAAACCCACAAATGTTAGGAAGGAAACGTCTGCAGTCGGCTGCCTTGCCAAGATCTGCTGGATTTTTGGCCAAGTCCCACCTGCTTCCAAAGAGTTGTTTTGCATGGACAGCCTACAAATATTCATGAGTTGGATGCTGGGGACCGTCAGAAACTGTCTGTATATATTTGTTCGCAAAATCAGGTCCTCTGGCAGGAACTGATTGTATCGCTTCAAGGGATTTCAGATAGTTCCTCAAAGCTGCTGCTCCTTATTTCAGATCTATTGATACTTGTGCCATTAAGCCTGTTTCCCTGCTAAGTCCTCCTGCTGCTCCATCTGTGCCCCTCTGTCTGCCCAGCCATCAGAGAACATTACCCAGGCAGCTTTTTAGGAGTTCCTCCAAAAAATAATGGGTGCGAACAGATACAGAGGACTGCAATGCAAGGTGATGGGAGAAGGTAGCTGTGAGGAAACAGCTGCCTTTGTGACTTCCTGAAAATAATACTACCAATTAAAACAAAAGGGTCTGCATCTTGCAAGCACAAAGACTTTGAGGTAACTCCACTTCTTAGAAGGACTGGTGAAGAGACGGTGTGGATCAGCTCACTGCTGGAGATTACACTGATGGACTGTGGAGTCTTCCTAGGAGACAGAATCAGGAATTCTTAAGTAGCTTGTTAAACAAGGAGAAGTTCACTGTTGTAGATTAACTGTATGTAAAAGTAGTGCTCAAACCACATGGCGTATGATGCATAGGAACTCATCCGCATGCTCAAAGCTCTCTACCAGGGGTGGGCAAAATGCGGCCCGCGGGCTGGATGCAACCTGCCAGCCCATTCTATCCAGCCCGTGGGGCCCCTAAAAAATTTAGAAAATTAATATTTATCTGCCCCTGGCTGCCTGTCATGCAGCCCTTGATGGTTTGCCAAAACTCAGTAAGTGGCCCTCCACCCAAAATAATTGCCCCCCCTGCTCTATGCTAATCCATGCAGCAACAACCCTTGGTGAAGGCACTTATACACACCCTGATACAGCTATATAGCTATATAGCACAGTGTCACCCATACAACCATAAACATTCCCTATACACCACACATGTTCACATTTTTAGAGGCATGTTTGTTTAATGTACACTACATGCATTAAACTACACATACACTCACCTACACTTGCACACACCTATACACTCCTACACATACCCAACTATTCCTCTACCTCAGTGTTTCTCAAATTAGCGTACACAATCAAATTCTAGGTGGCAAGTCATAGAAAAGCAGAAAGGGGAAAGGAGAAATAGGAGGGGAGAAAAAGAAAGAAAAGGAAAATTGAAGGACAGTGTGATTGGACTAAACATAAAGTGTTACATTTGTATTTATCCATAGGGGTACATACATAGCTGTACAATGAACTTAAAAAGCTGTATGCAACCTAAAGATTTTGAGAACCACTGATCTACCTCCATATACCACTGAAAGTGTACATACACCCCCCTGCCTGAGCTGTATTCGCTAGTACTGAGACAGAGGTCTCTGTCTCTGGAGGATAAATCCAGACCGGTGGATATGGAGACAGGTGAACAGTAATAGATGCTTTTTGACTGCATGACATTTTCAGCTCTCTCACCCAGATCCTGCCAGATTGGTCTTTGATCAATCACTTCCTTGAGGGTATAACAACAACAATTAGGTCAGGGCTAAGAAAATGTTCTCCTCGAGATGGATGCCAAGGTCCTGTCTCTTCCTCTAGCCCAGTAAGGAAGGCTTGTAATAAGTCTTTTGGTGGCCGGGGTTGTGTAGCTTGATTCAAATTCATTTTCTGAGGGGGATGAACCTGGAGCTCAATTATCAAACTGCTCTTTGCTTCCTGATTGTCAGGGGCTGGGGCTGGGGCTGTTGTGGAGGTAGGAGGCTGAGTCTGAGGCAGATATGGCCTGTCCCGTTCAATAGCCCTCCCTTTATTGAGACTGGATCTAGAGGATTCATGAAATCAAGTCACAAGTGGTTTCTTTTCCCAGTCTTGTTTCTAAAGTTAGAGGAGTCTGAGCTTCATCCCTGCCAGATCCGCTGCCAGGGCGGGAGTTGAAGGGTCACAAGTGTGTGGGCCCCAAGCAAACAGCTGAAACACATGCTAGAATTGGAAGAGCTATTAGATCCCCTTGTGCATCTCCATGGGATATAGGCCAGATTGAAACTGCTCCTGGCTGGCTGTGATTAGCAACGGGTACAGTCAGAATCTGACTGCAGCTATGTCCGTGCATCCAGAGATGGAGACTAGCAGCAGCAGTGAGTAGAAACAGTGGGTGGTACAAGTCAGAAAGACAGGGAATTCCCAGGACCTGGATAAGCAGAGTTGCTACATATGGGAACTCAGACAGTCACCCAGCTAAGGGATCTATTTGTGTGAATTAGGCTACACCTAAACGTTGCTTTTGTCCTGGGAGAAACCATTTTATTCCAGGACAAAGTGCAATAGGCCAGATGTCTATGTCTGTTGTCCCAGGACAAACCCTAAAAAGGTTCATGGGATAAGAAGTGCTAGCACTTTATCCAGGGACATCATGAAGTGCATCTGAACAGTTGTCCCGAGACTGCATCACTGAATCAATGGCAGAAAAAAACAGCAGTGCATTCAGCTGCTTGCTAAACCCTGCCTGGAAATGCGACGTATGTGCACACTGATCCCAGGACATTTCTGTTCTGGGATAAACACAGGCACAACTTGTCCTGGAACAAATACAATGTTTGCTCCTCGCCTTGCTGTAGAGACTCTCTCACCTGGCAGTGTCAGGTATTTTCCACGCCACTCTGGCCATACAGCACAGACCTCTCAAAGGACAAAGACAGACAAGTTTCAAATTTAAAATCTTTCTCCAGCGTTCCCAGTCTACATCGCAATCGTGCATATGTGCATAGTTGTCTGCCTGTCTGTCTATCTGCGAAGCCTTGAGCTGGAAGTGTCAGTGGGTTGTGGGAGCTGCAGGCTTCCTGTGTGCTTCATGCTGCTGGTATCTGGCTCTCTGAGAGTGCTACATTGAAGATGTTGTCCCATGTACAATAAAGGTGTTTGTGCTTGAGCTGGCTTGGTCCAGGGCAGAGTGACTCAGAGTCTGATATGGGTCAGCAAGCGCCGCGCTGGTAAACAGTCTTGGACAGTCCCTCGTGAGCTGGCCGATGAGTCAAGGAGCTTTTAGTGGCAGCACTGTGAAGGGCTGGATGTGTTTGTGGGGGGAGACCCCTTTTCCAGGGTAGAATCTGATTGTGGCTGTCGGTGGAAAGGATTTTCCAGTACACTTTGGTGACATCCATTCTTCTCTCCTCTGCCCCGTCTGGTCTCCACTCCTATAGACCCAGTCCTGCAAGGTCCAGTGCACTGCCTGAGACTTCCTGAGCAACTCCCCAGATCCCACTGAATCACTGTATTTCCAGGATTAGACCTCTAGCTCTTGCCTGCATTAGGGCAAAGCCAAACTGGATACAGCAACAGCAGCAGTGAGCAGGCCTTGTACCCTAAATGGGCTTCCAACATGGTTTGACCAGCTATTGCGAGGAGGGCCAGAGTTTCAGGGGCTTCCCTGCGCTCTTGAACCTAAGGAGAAATACGTGGCCCCCAAGACTGGCACTAAGGGTGAGATATCCGCAGTTCCCAAATTTCTCCTCTGCCAGTTTCCATTACATTTATTCTTGGCTCAGACATTCCAACTGTTGGCTCCAGGGTCTGGCTCCTGAGAGTGCAGAAACCAGCCCAAAACTGTCCTGGGAAAGGTCTACATCCCAGAAAGCCGTGGTCTTTCTCCTTTGTCTCTTGGCCGTGTCACTTCAAGAGCAGCCACCACCAATTAAATACACCTGTGGTGATTTCCCTTGTGGAGAAAGCTGCTATGCTCGCAAAGCCGGGCCCAATTAGGGGCTTGGCAAGTGAGGTTCCTGGATAGCACTGAAAAGAAGTGACAAGGAAGGAGTCCTGGCATCTTCATTTACTTACAGGCCTTTGCTGCTTTCATTCCAGAGCCTGAGCGTCCATAGCAACAGCAGCAAAAACCGCTCAGAAAGAGGAGATGTGGCTGCTGGACTCCCAGAGTCCCAGGCTGAAGGCATCACTCTCTCAAGGAGCTTATTGTATAGCCACTGAAATGGCCAGAGTCTCATGGGAACAGTGTGGCTGTAACCCTCCTCCCTCCTCTTAACAACCATTTCATCTGAAGTGACAGGGGAGGAAGGCAATCTGTCCTGCAGCAGGCTCTGCTGGGGAGAGGGGAGGAAGGGAGTGAAGGGTGGATGGGATATAGAGGCAGAGAAGAAAATTGAGAAAAAGGGCAAGAGAGAGAAAAGAAAAGGGGGGAAAAACCAAAATAACAAGTGCATGAACATAGGAGAGATGGAGGAGAATGAAACCATGTTCAGCTCCCCAGCTGGGATCTTCCCACCATGCCCCAAAAGGCCTGGGATAGGAGAAGCTGCACACCCAGCTAAGAGAAGATGCTACCCACAGCCCAGCCGTGCCATTATAAGCATGCTACAACTCCAGAGTGCATCTACCAAGGGGAACCAGTGCTACATCTGACAAAATCTAGCAGGGAAGCAGATTTTCCTGCCTTCCCAGACTCTCTAATCAGGCAGGATGCATTAGGGATTGGGATGACCGCATTGTCTTACGGGCATGCAGGGCTTTGCTTTGCGTTTCAATTCAGCAGCTCTGCACGGTAACCAGAGATGGCTTCAAGTCAGAACATGGGGGGCCACCAGCACTCAGCCACAATGAAGTCCTGAGGGGTTCCAACGCAGGGACTAGGTTAGTCTCATATGGTAAGCTCTGCTAGAGGAATCATGAAAACAGTACCCTCCTAGACCCCTATTTTGTACCTTCTCTCAAGGTGGAAGGAGTTAAGCGCCACGATCATGGGTGGAATTGATGCTGCAGTTCTGCTTCTGGGCGATTCATCCCTTCTGCCCACTCCGGAGGGAACTGCTGCACACCTCCTAAAGGATGCAAGGCAATTCCCTTCCAGAGGAAGCACTGGCCACTAGTTTCCAATCTCTCTGGCAGAGGATCTTGGTCTAGTCTAGCCAGCTCATACCAGCCATCTCCTGACTCTCCAAGACACCAGTGGATGGCTGCCTGATCCTTCCATGACCAAGACCAGAAAAAAACCTCTCTGGGGGAAATCCAGCAACTCAGTGACACCTGCATGTTACCTAAGTGGTATATAATACATTCCCAAGCCTTCCCAAGTCTGTCTGACAATACTCAGCCTAGCTAACTTCAGGCATCACATCCATTTTTCCCATCGCAAAGCCAGCTTTGTTAACTCAGTTAATGTATCAATGTTCTAACCAGCCTCTGCATTTATCCCTTTGTGTTTTCTGCACTTGCCATTTATAGACAAAGCCCTGAGAAAGAGGACCATTTACTGATTGCAGAGTCTAAGTGGAAAGTGCAGTGGGAAAGAAAGCACTTGGCCATTCATACAGGGATACATGTAAACCATTGGGGCACACACACAGATGAGCTCTGAGCAGAGCACAGAGGTGCTGTGAAAGCGCACGCACACCATTAAGCCCCTTCAGTTCTGGCTCTTACAAGCCCATTACCGATGTGTTCCAGAGGTGAACTGAATCTGCCTAAACAGCCGGAGATGAGAGGGACCGAGAAAGATTAGCAAGCTGCCATAATGCCCTAATAGAGTTTCCTTCCCCTTCTCTTGCAACATTTCTCCATCTGCTCTGGGCTTTTGTTACTCAGCCCTTTCCCCTTCCCTCTCCTCATCTTTCTCAATCTCAGTGTTGTGTTCGAAGGCATGGATTATGGCCTCCTTCCTGATAAACTGACACA